GACAGTTTACTCTAAAATTATAATATTCCTTATCACTACATTGATTTAAAAACAATAACATAAAAGAATATTGAAAAAATTATTTTGACGAAGCAAAGTCTATTACAATTAAGAGCTTAAGTAATTTCTTTTCAAAGGAAAAAATATCATAAATCAAGTTTTACTTATTTCCGTCTCATGAATAAATGTTTTATGATTTCTTTTGAATGAGGTTGCATTTTCATTCGTATTAATTAGTATGCTGCTATTTCTTCAGATCCATGTGCAAATACTAATTGTCAACATGGCGGAACATGCGTACCCGGAGACAGGGGTAATTCATGTTTATGCAAATACCCATACAAAGGAAAGTTTTGTGAAATAGGTAAATATATTTAAACCTCCTGTTGAATAAATTGTTTAAATTTTAACGGAATATTAAAATCTAACCACTATCCGTTAATTTGTTGAAAATACATTTTTGTAAATAAAAAAAAACTCTTTGACCTAAAAAAGGTAAAATTGCATCTTAAGAACGAAAATTCCAATTAAATTAAAATCTTATAATTTAACTATCAAGAAACAATACAAAGGAGCAGATTGATGTATAAATTTAAAAATATATTTAATTTTTTTTAATGTATTCATATGATGAATTAAATATTTATATGTTAAAATTCAAAAAAGAAGAAATAATTATTTTTCTTCGCAATCCAAAAAATAGTAAAACTCTTGAATTCTTTTTTACGCATATTACATTTTAATTAAATGAAACATTTTTTTCATATTTTAAATCTTAAATGCCTTAATCCTTTTAACTAAATATAGTATTTAAACTAAATATAGTATGCGGGATGGAAAAAAATTGTTTTACTGTTGAATTCATAATTTACAAAACGCAAATCTATAAGTTATTTACGACATTAAATTTAAATAATATATATTTCTTCTCATGAAATAAATTTGTAAAAATTATTATGACAAAAAATTTTACCAATAACAATATGAAAAAGTGACATTTAAAAATAGCAAAATGCTATTTTTAATTTTAATTAAAAGATGTAATATTAAGGGAAGGGGAGGAGAATATTTCTTTTTGTTCCCTCCATTGATGCTATACCATAGTCAGTAGTAACAAGCTTCAACAATTTGGACGGATTTAAACAAACTAGGTAAAAATGCATTTATTTAAATATTTAGGAAATTAATTACAGTTATTGTATTCTATTTTATAAACAGCGTTGAACAGCAAACCCATTTTTGCGTTTAAGACTACTAATATTCCTCTCCGTTTCTTTGTACTTTTGAATTAAATCAAGAAGAAAATTGTACACCTGGATCAAGTATTGGTAGAAACCTGCTTTCTTGAAGGATTTTTTGATAGAACTAACCAGCCTTTGCGTTAATTGGATAAGAAAAAGACGAAAACCTGCCACGGTTAGCCTGAGGGTAAGGAGATACTATCCCATGATCCGTCTACCACTTTGGATATTTCACGTCAGCGTTTATTGTTGGTGCGATCCGGGTGCGGAATTCGTATCCACCCGTGATAGCTGGGATTCGTATCTCTTTCACCTCAGGGCCTATCCCATGAGCCACCATGGCTCATACTTACAATCATTGTTGCTTTTCATGATAAAATTTTTTGTTTTGGGAATGTAAAGACAGGAACTATATATATAAATCTTTCAAAGCGTATCTTACGTTATCGCGTTTTTAATTTTCAGAACAGAGGAGAGGGTATTCAATCTTAAATTGTTTGATTAAATGAGTTTGTACACACAATTGATACACCAGTTACATGATGTCTATTAATAAAAGAGCACTCTCATAATAAGAAGATGAAGATGTTTTGTGGCCTTTACTTTTAGCATACGGTGTTGTAAAAAAAATTAGGAGTTTGTTTGAAGAAAAACATACGAAAATTTCGAGGAAAAAATATTTCCGTGAGGAAAATTTTTGAGAAAGTTCAGAAAAAAATAGAGATTATTATCGTCACTTTCGTTACAAACGCTCGTACTTTTGCCCCAAAAAAGTAACGAACAAACAGGCAAAAATACAAATTTAAGAATGTAACAAAGTACAAGAAAAAGTACGTATTTTTTACTTCTACTTTAGTTACAAGTAATGAAAATAAAAGTAGTGGAAAAGTACTGCGGAACCAACAGCTTAACCGTGCATTTTACATTGCATGTTTTGCAATATGTTGTACCATTGGACTAAATTGCAATTGTATTTCAATTCCAATACCTAATTGCTAATACCTAATTCCTCCTAAATTGCAATTCCAATACCTTGAGAAGACGAGGGGGTGGGGAATTCCCAGTAGGAAATGAAACTATATAAGGAATAGGTGAAGAAGGAACTATATGTAATTTGCCTTCACCCTCTAACTCCGTTACTATACAGAAATTACTTTATTTCTTTTTTAAATTGTCATGTTTATGTTCATTACACAAAACATAAATTAAGCATTAGGCATTTTCTTAAATACATTATACTCATTTTAGTTAAATTAAAAAGTTAACTGCTTTTGCGTAATACACTGCCATCTGCTTTAAATTTTAAGAATTTTTATAATTTACGTTACTGAAAACAATAAAGAGAGACAGTTTACTCTAAAATTATAATATTCCTTATCACTACATTGATTTAAAAACAATAACATAAAAGAATATTGAAAAACTTATTTTGACGAAGCAAAGTCTATTACAATTAAGAGCTTAAGTAATTTCTTTTCAGTGGAAAAAAAATCATAAATCCAGTTTTACTTATTTCCGTCTCATGAATAAATGTTTTATGATTTCTTTGGAATGAGGTTGAATTTTAATTGGTATTGAGTAGTAACTTGATCCATGCGCAAATACTACTTGTCAACATGGCGGAACACGTGTGCCCTTAAGCAATGGTTGTAAATGCTTATGCAAGAACCCATATAAAGGAAAGTTTTGTGAAATAGGTAAATATATATGAACCTCCTGTTAAATAAATTGTTATAATTTTAAAGGAATATTAAAATCCAACCACTATCCGTTAATTTGTAGGAAAAAAAATTTTTCAAATTAAAAAAAATAAAAACTTTGACCTAAGAACGGTAAAATTGCATCTTAAGAAAGAAAATTCAAATTAAATTAAAATCTTATAATTTATCCATCAAGAAACAATAGAAGGGAACAGTTTGATGTATAAATTTAAAAATATATTTAATTTTTTTTTAATTTATTCAAATGATGAATTAAATGTTTATTTGCTAAAATTTAAAAAAGAAGAAGTAATCATTTTTGTTCACAAGCAAAAAAAGATTAAAACTCTAGAATTCTTTGTTACGCATATTACATTTTAATTAAATGAAACATAAATTTTTTATTTTAAATCTTAAATGCCTTATTCCTTTTAATTAAATATAGTTTTTAAATTAAATATTGTATGCGGGATGGAAAAAAAATGTTTTACTGTTGAATTAATAATTTACAAAACGCAAAAGTTTTTAATGACATTAAATTTAAATAACACATTTTTTGTCACGAAATAAATTTGTAAAAGTTATTGACAAAAAGTTTTACCAATGACAATTTGAAAAACTGACATTTAAAAATAACAAAAAGCAATTTTTAATTTGCATACGGTTAGCATGCGGTGTTTTAAGAAAAATTAGGGATTTGTTTGAAGAAAAACATTCCAAAATTTCGAGAAAAAAATATTTCCCTGAGGAAAATTTTTAAGAAAATTCAGAGAAAAATAGAGATTATTTTCGTCACTTTCGTTACAAACGTTTGTAAATTTGCGTAGTTTACTCTAAAATTATAATATTCCCTATTACTACATTGATTTACAAACAATAACACTAAAGAATACTGAAAAAATTATTTTGACGAGGCAAAGTCTATTATAATTAAGAGCTTATGTAATTTCTTTTCAAAGGAAAAAAACCATAAATCAAGTTTTAATTATTTCCGTCTCATGAATAAATGTTTTATGATTTCTTTGGAATGAGGTTGAATTTTTATTGGTATTAAGTGGTAAGTTGTTATTTCTTCTGATCCATGTGCATATATTACTTGTCAAAATGGTGGAACATGTGTACCCGAAGACAGTGGTCCTTCATGTTCATGCAAGAACCCATATAAAGGAAAGTTTTGAGAAATAGGTAAATATATATGAACCTCTTATTAAATAAATTGTTATAATTTTAACGGAATATTAAACTTCAACCACTATCCGTTAATTTGAAGAAGAAAAATTTTTTTAAAATTCAAAAAACACTTTGACCTAAAAACGGTAAAACTGTATCTTAAGATAGAAAATTCCTATTAAAATAAAAATCTTAAAATTTACCTGTCTAGAAACAATACAAATACGCAGTTTGGTGTAAAAATTCAAAAGAATATTTAATTTGTATTTTTTAATTTATTCATATAATGAATTAAATGCTTATATGTAAAAATTCAAAAAAGAAGAAATATTTTTTTTGTTCACAATTCAAGAAATATTATAACTCTAGAATTCTTTTTTTACGCATATTACATTTTAATTAAATGAAACATAATTTTTATATTTTAATTCTTAAATGTTAATCCTTTTAACTAAATATAGTATATGGGATGGAAACATATTGTTTTACTGTTGAATTAATATTTTACAAAACGCAAATCTATAGCTTTTTCATGACATTAAATTTAAGTAATATATTTTTTGTCATGAAATAAATTTGTAAAAATTCTTATCACAAAAACTTTTATTAATGACCTTTTAAAAAAGTGACATTCAAAAATAACAAAATACAATTTTTAATTTAAATTACAAGATTTAATACTAAGGGAGGGAGAGGTGAATATTTCTTTTTGTTCCCTTTTAAAGCACATCCTTAGTCTGTTTTTGATATTCAGAACAGAGGGGACATTTCAGAACATTGATTTCAGAACATCCAGAGCTTTATATATGACCGTAAGACGCATTATTTTCAGTGGTCCAATCAAATCCAAATGCTTTTGCAACGTCACAAATTTGTTTCTTTTTCTTAAGTCCTATACCGCAATGGTAGCTTTCGACGCCGAATAAGACCGGTGGAAACCGTATTGTGTGATATACGAGTAACATTTTCATAGCGTATAATAAAATATTAAAAAGGAGTAGCCTCTTTGAAAAAAAAACGAGAATATTTTAAGTGAATACAATGCTATAACTATAATTGATTTTGAAATTTTACTTTACTTAAAAAACAACCTCATTTCCAGTCTTAGAATGGCAGTGTTGTTAAACTCTGGTTATAAAATCTTAGAATCTTTGGACAATATTAAAATTATTACTAATATTTTGAATTGAATTCTTTCTTCTTCGTTATTGAAATGAAGGACTTGGGCAATATAGTGAAAAGCTACATTATCAAATTGTCCAATGTAACTTTTTTTAAACATAAACATAAAACACAAAACATCATGATTTTGAAGTTAGAATGTAAAATATTTCTGTTTCTCTTGCTTACTTGTAATAGAAATTCCAAAACATTTTAATGTACTGATCTGAAATCAATACTGAGGAGCAGGTCAACGTAAATTTTATAAAAAAAAATATGCCTTTCTTTTAAAAAAATTTGATTTTTCTTATTTATTTTCACAAAGTTACCCAAGTAATTACCTATAGAAGGTTGAAAAATTACTTAAGCTAAAAAAAGGTATAATACAATAAAGAGTTATCATAATTGTTTTCTTTCGAAAAAGATAAATAAATATGTAAACAAATATAATAAGATTTTAATAATTATAATAAGATTGTAAATACTGCATAAGATTTTGCATTTAAAATTCGTTTAAGCATTTTTAAAAATGATTTTAAGATTAATTATATTTTTTTTTAAATTTCTGACTGAAAAGATGTTGTTTTGTAACTAGTGTTACAAATAATCTGTTTTCTTTATACGTATAAAATTATAATGTTTTGGATTGTAATCAAATTAACACTAATTCTCTATTTATTTCAGATGGTAAGTCCTGAATATTTCATCAACTAGAAAAATCTTCAAAGAGAAATTCAACATTATACTGCCTGTTAAATGAAATAAAATGTCTGATTTGTTGGAAAACATTTTGTTCTGTTTTAAAATATAAATAAAATAAGAAATAATTCGATTGCAAAATTATTTGATTTATTTAAGTATTTTTTGCACTTGCCTAAATCTAAATCTGTAGTTTCTACTCGTAACTCCATGATGGTCTATTCCAGTTAGTGTTCGGTAACAATCTATAAGCATATATAGATTTCATTTTCTTTTACAACGATTTTAGTTATTACGAATTTGTATTATCTTATTTTGTTTGCAATACGCGTTCTTTTGATAACTCGTAAGCAAACAGACATCTTTGGAATTAATTATTTACTATTATATTTAATGCATAAAAATGGACACTTTCTATATGTGTTCAAATTAGAGCTTAAGCATAACTTAGTAAGCGAAAAAAAAGTGCATAAATAAATAAATAAATATACCGATCACTCTAAATAACTGTTGATCAAATGATCGGATCTTCATATTCAGGGACATAATCTTAACGGCTCGAGAGGGTGTCCTCAAATATGCTGATGAATATGAGCAGACGATAAAAATATGAAATCACATGCAAAAAAGTAAATTCATTGAATAAACATACCGTTTTTTCGACGAATTCCGACTTTGAACCCCCGAAATAAGGTATGAACAGCTTGATCCAGAGAGTTTAAAGCTCGGGTCTCTTAATGCTGATTTCACTTTTTGCGTATTTCCCCCATGTCTCGAGAACTTATAGGAGATTTGAAAAGCTTTTACACTCAATAATAAAATTCGTTTATCCAAAGATAATTCCAAGCAAAGAAATATCTTTTAGCAAATATATATTATTTTTTCGTTTTTTATATAATAATATTCGTGAAAATTGTGATTATAAGGTATCCACCCAATTATAAAATTCTGCAATACAAAAATATTATATGCAAAAGTTTTTTAATCGCTTTGTATACTGCTTTTAAAATTTACATTCTTTAAACTTATTTCTATACCTTGCAATTAAATGATCTTGCTTTGTTTGCATTACAAGTCATTTTGATAACCTGTAATCAACGATATTAATATTAAACTAATTATTTACTATCATACATAGTGTATAAAAAAAATTGAACATTTCTATGATAGATATATCAGAGCTCTAATACTCAAACTGCTAGACTTATCTCTTAAATAAATTCGCTAGTTACCATAGTTATAAATTGAATATCGATAAAATTTAGAAATGACGCATACCCACAATTTTTTTAAAGAGGTTAAGTTTTTCCAATGATATTAAACTGAAGCAGAACATTTTAAAATTAAAAAAATATTAAATTTTAAACATAATCTTTCTTGACCTCACATATATTTGTCTATAAATATATATGAAAATAACGAATATACGCGTTTATGTAGATGTTACATATCCATGAGGAGGTAGACAAAATTCTCTACTTTTCAATTTCTCAAATTACATGGGGAGAAATTTTGTACTAATTTTTATGAAGCATTTTTGTGTGATGTATAATTTTTTTTCGGGAAGATACAGATTTTTATCAAAATAGTAATTTTAATTTCATTTTTTTCTGAATGTGCGTGGTAGTACGATAAAAAACGTGGTAGAAGGTGTGCATGCGTACTTTAAGAGTTTATGTTAATTATTATTATCTCGATTACATCGTAATTAAGCATATGATTTCATAATGCAAATATACTAAATAATAAAAGCAGATGATATTTTAAGTTACGAAATCAGACGCAAAAACGTATTTTCTCTGAATAAACATACCTTTTTTTCTACGGATTCAGATTTCTGTCCCCTAAAATATAGGAGTTAACCACAATCTGGGAAATAGGGTCGAAGTTGCTCGGCCAGGAGAGAGGTCCAAAGTTTTGACCTGTTACTGTTAATAATATTTTTTTTGCATATTTCTCTATATCTCAGAAATATTTCTCTATATAACGTAAAAAAATTCTGTTGAAAAAGAGCATGAAATAAAAGGAAGCAGAAACCAAACTTATCGGCATATAACAAAATGCAGTTAAGGTTAAAAAGTAAACTACTAATTACAGTTAACAAATTTCTCAACAAATTTCTTAACAAATTGTGCTTATAGCTTGAATCGAATAAAAAAAATTAAAATACATATTTGGTCGAAAAAAATTGAACACATTAGTGATGCTATCTATGAGAAAAACTAGTAAGAAAATTTATTCGGAAAAATAATTTAATAAAACCCATAATAAAAAGAAAATGTTATTAATTTTATTGCTAAAAAAGAGATAAATGCTGTAATTTAAATAGCAGACTAAAATACGGAATAAATCATTTATTTCCATCCCATCTTCCTAAGTGTAACACATTTAAAAGTCAGAACCTGTACATATGGATAGAAAGCAGTTTTTAGACTTTATTCTTCATTCATATAACCTCACGTAATTTTAAAGTCTACACGTATTACCTGCATTCATCGGGGTTGGCTGTTTATAAACCAGAGCCTATTCCCTTCTTCCAAAATAGTAATAATAAAATAAATAAATAAATAAAATATAAACAGTTTATTATACTGGATAATTAAAATAATTAAAGTTATTTTAAGAGGCTACATATTATTAAGAAGTATATATATATNTATTTATTTTTCCAAAACTTTATATCAGTAGCATACAAATTCATTTAATCATAAAGGATTTGTATTGAAAACGAAGAATTTTAAGTAAATTAAGTTTAAATTATTTTATTTACTTTATTACATATTTCAATTATATATATATATATATAATTTTAACTCCAATTGTATCAAGAATCATCCAAAATAATGATTGCCACGGTGACTAAACAAGATGCAGACTTTAATATTCAAAAGTAAACAATCTTAAAAGTAAATATGTCTTAAATAAGCTATGTAGAGATCTTTATTTACCGATATAATTTTAAAATACGATGCAAACACGGTGCCATGACAAGAATTGTAGGTTTCTTGCGTTTAAACTATTGACTATTTTCGACAATATTTTTTTTTTAAAATCAGATACTTCCACTTCAGATATGAATTCTTAACTTGTTATTATCTGTGAAAACGTATATTTATGTGCTTTCAAACAAAGGTTGACGAGGAAAAATTTTGTGAACATTTAATTTTTTGGAAATGTGAAATTAGTACTAATAAAGCAGTGGCTCCAAATTTTTAATCATTTATGATCGACCTTGTTTTAGCGAAACCCCGGAAATTAAAAGACATTTCATTAGCAAATGTAAAAAATATTAATCAACTAAAGCCATTATTTGTTTTTTCAAATATTT